GTTATATTTTTAATTATATAAAATATTTAAATTCGTGTTCGTTGTACATTTTTAATCATTGTTTTATTATCCGCACTCTCTTTGCGGTCTCAATTTGTGCGGATAATCGACGCTCCACTGTATTTACAAAAATAGGGCCGAGGTGTCTCTTTTTTTGCGGAACGAATGAGTATTATACTGCATAAAGACGTGTTGTTTCGTAAATACTGACCTGTAAATTTGAAGTTAACGAGTAAAAAAAAAAAAAAATTACTACTACGCACGAGTGTATAAAGTAAATAATCGAAAGCGTCTATTTGATAGTATAATTGAGTGATTATAGGTTTTCAATGGACAAAATCAAAATAGCGATAATACCGAAATATCTCAAAACCACTGATTGCACACGCGTGCCACTATAAATAAGAATAAGGATAAAAAAAGATTTTCTTGCACATTCATCTTTTTCCGTCTAAATTTCACCTCAATACGCCTATCGTATAGCGACAACTATCCCCTCACCATATAGGCCCACCGTCATAATAATAAACTTTCAACGATCCCAAACACCTCGTCGTCGCACGCACGCCGTATGCGATTCAGCTGCGGCCGACCGATTCGATATATATCATATGCAGTATTATTATTATGTGTGCAGTTTTAGACGTGAAGGGTGCGCGTAATGGTATAATATATATCATGTATATTACTGCGTGCGAGTTGCGCGTCCGCCAATCTAACAATTCCTCTCCCTCACGGGGCAAAGTCGTTTTTATTTTTACGTCCACAGCGTTGTCGTAAATAAATAAATAATAATAAAAATAAGCGTAATACTATGTACCATTATACGCGATATCATCCCCGTCGGGGATTACACGTCGAGAGTCACCCACCCCCACTGGGGAACAGAATGGACAGATGAGAAACGTAGCGCACTCACGTTGTACACAAGTGCTGTTGCGGAACACCGCCGCAGCGGGACGTGATGTACACGTACGACTACGACGAATGACGAAGTGGATTTTGCGTGCTTTGTGCGCGTAATACTATTTCAATATAGCCTAGGGTGACCTTATTTATAAAACAACAAAACAAGATTTACGGTTTTGACTCGACTTTAAAAAAACCTCCAAAAATTGTATAGGTAATTTTCAAGTTTTTATAATTTTTGACTAAATAATATTTTTAAGATAATGTTCGCTTATTTATATAATTAGAGTCATTGTTTAAAGGGAAAGGATTTAAAAATATGACTAGGGATACATTTTTTTTTTCGCGTTTTCAATCGTTTGATTGGCTTACTGCAGTTCTTCATGTTCCTTATTCTTACTTAGTTCATTTAACTTTATGTAGCTATTTTATGTCTATCGTGATTTGCTTCGTGCACTCCATGTCTCCATGCTTGGTTTTCTTCTTATACGATCTTCAAAGTCGCTTCCTATAACAGCCTATTATAACTAAATTATGGTCGCTATTAATATCAGCACCAATGTAAGTTTTATATTGCTTAATTTAATTTTTAAAGCGTTACTTAGTGTGACTAAGCCTTAGTCTTCATATAATTAATTTGATTCCCGGTCTATTCCAGGTATATATTCTTTTTTTATTGTGTTGAAAAATAGTGTTTGCAATAATTATATTCGGTACAAATCTGTATTAGCCGTTCCTCTCTATCATTTCTATTTCCCAAGCTATAATTACCCGTCATGTTTCCCTCTTTTCCTTCGCCTACTGTTACATTCTAGTCACCCAGGATTATAATATTTTCTCCTGCCTTATAGTCTTGTCACTCTTGTCATCACTTTATCTATTTAATTATATGTTTCTTCAGTTTCAACGTTGTTATGTGATTATGTTGAAATATATACTTGGATTATCTTTGTAATAGCAGGTTTAGAATTAACCGTGATGATTCTATCTGAACATTGATAGTAGCTGATTGAATTTTCCACGCAACCCTTATTTACGATGATGACAACACCAGTATGTCCATTGTTCAAACGCTTTTATATGAATTTATACTCATTACTATAAAAATCACCAGGATCTGGTCATCTTACTTCACTAATTTCCATTATGCAAATACTTATTTTTTTCATTTCTAACTTTAAATTTTCAAATTTTTCACTTTTTAAAAATCCAACATTCCACGTGCCTAATCTTTTATAGTTTTGTTTTGTTTTACTCGAGGCAGTCTCCACTTGGTCATCCAATTGACTATTGAGACTAGTTTACGTTTGAAATATTTTGCAACGAGTTGACAATCTACTACTGCAAAAATTAAAAACAATAAGGTGGCGGTTTCCCGTTTCCATCACCTCGCAGATTTGTAACCGTTTAGATGGCTACTGTCTTCGCTTAGCATGTAGTTGTACCACTCTCCTAGATATCCACCAATACTCAATATTGAAGAAGCTGCTGCCCTTCCCCAATATTTTTAGTCACCTTTTACGACAATCTAAAATTGCACTTAGGATTTTTATAATCTTAAACATTTTAAAAGAATATTTGCAAATATGCACAAAAAATAATAAAAATCTGTTTAATTAATATAAAAACAATCAAACACATGATTTTATAAAATTCATTGAAAAATATTGTATTATCCTGATAACTACAGGCACCTGTTACTGTTATTTCAATTTTTATTTAACCATATAAAAAGACAAAGTTATAACAGTTAATCAAAACAATATCTGAATATTATTTTTAATTACATTTTACATACTCTATACATTGATTTGAATGATATTAATTTTTTTGAGGTTTTTGAACAAGAATGTACGCGCTGTCATATAATACAATATTTTAAGATGAAAAACTTCATTAAACGTCTATATTAAAATTTATCAATTTATTAGTTTTTTTTTTTTTTATTGAAAATTGATTTTTAATTTTTTTTCCATCGAAATTTGTGCTCATCAACTATTTTTTCATAATACATAATTATTTCTCTATATTAACCTCTGAATATGTAAGAATTTACAAAATTGGATTGAATGCATCTGACCGTGTTTAACAAAATAAATCATAACAGAAAGAAAAAATAATGAAAAAGTCGTAAACAACTCAATTACTTAACTCTAAAAAATGCACCGTGCATATACTCTTAGAGCTTAGTAGGACACGTCTTATGTTATTTTTGCTAACAACTATTTGACGACTCTTTACGACGTTCATTAGGTACACAAAAATTATTATGTATTACACACTCACTTTTGTTTAAATAATGATTCAATGTGAAACGGTAATAATGTTTTTTATATTTTTTGCGCGTGTGGATTTTTCTTTTACACACATATTGTTTCAATATTATAATATATTAACTCACTGTTCCATTTCACATCTTTGTATTTTAGTACAGCTTCATCAAAATACTTGAAAAAATGTATTTTCAATTAATTTGCTTTGTATTCATTAATATAGGTATGCGCACTAAGGGAGGAGGGGTGTCCGGTGTGTATCAGCATTTACCGAAATTTTGTAATTGGAGTCCTAAGTTTAAAATCCCAGGGCAAGGGATTCGTATAAAAACTGATGTTACTAAAATAAAATGAAATTTTTTCTAAAATATGTGGTAGATTCTAAAATAATTTAAATGTATGTGTGTAATGATATAATAGCTAGATATTAAACAAAAGTACAAATCATAAATAAAAATAAAAATTATCTTAGAAATAGAATAAATAAATATTAGATTTAAAGAAAAATAGTAAGAAAAAAAGAAAAAGACTCAAAAAATTGTAGGCACTCCATGAAATTTAAATCAGCATATACCTATGTCTATTAATCAGAGACGTGTTTATAGAGAAGAGGGAATTGGAGAGATTATAGAGACAGCGATTGGGACGGATGGCATCAGATTTTTACTTAGCACATTTTTTGTTAGCTGTTTATGAACAATTATAATATAAATTGACTATATTTATTTTATCGATAATGCTCCAAGATTGTAACACCTGGTACCACAACTATAGGCAAAATTTAAAGATAATATAATGTGAATTTTAAATATTTATTGTTTTGTAATTAATGGATGATAAAGAAACCTGCTTATTATTCTTGATTAATTTATATGGATTATTTAATGCAACAGGTAGGACAACGATGACGTACAGGCCGTCTGCATAACGTGTGGTCATCGTAAGGTTCAATAATTGTTGTGAGAATGGGACGGAAAAACATTAGCACCCGGGCACCAAATTTCTAAATACATCCCTGTTGTTAATATACAGCTGTATGTATCTCTGTGATTGATGACGATTCAATAAATAATAATAATGTCGTAGAGGTACCTCCTAATAAGTATAATATAACACGGAGACAACGAGGGGAGGGAGACTATCTTTACTAAAAATGGGGTAAAAAACGTCTCGCCGCAGAAGTTTATCATCGGGACTACACGATGCCCAAAAACGAGACGACCCTCCCCCCTTCCCTAACGATGACCTCCCGACGGCGAAAAACGCATCGTATAACCTACGGCCCCCCGACAGCACGACGACGATTACGCCGACAACTGCATCGGTGAGCCGCGGCGATGATCGGTCGCAACGTTTCAGTCAGTGTTCGTCCGGTCGTCACTCGTCGCGTGTCTAGCGTATATCCTCAGCGACTGTACATGCGACCGACGTTACGACCTCGTCACGTGCTGTCATCACAGATCACAAGCACAAATTTATTGTAATTATTATTATTATTATTATTATTATTACTGTCATCACACCGGGTCGAGCACGGATTGCGTCCGCGAATCGCACGTGCGCCGCGCCGAAACAACAGCGACGTTTTGTTGCCTCCCCGCCGACGTCGGCCGTGACTCCGCTCGTGTCTGCGGGAAACTATATCATACTCGGTGCAGTGCGCGCGCGCGCGTGCGCTTTCGCGTCCCACGTGTCTGCACGCGGCTCGCGCGCCATACACCGCTATATTGACCTTTGCGCGGCCCCTCCATTTGGCGCGCGCGACGCCTCCCCCGCAGCAGCAGCGGCGCGTCGCGTTCGACAGTAACGCGAGCGCGTGGTGCGCGTATGCAGTTGTCGGCAGTGCCGTGTGTGTGCGTTCGTCAAGCGGTTTCGCGATTTACGCGGTGAAATACCACGCCGGTGCGGTGGTCGCTGTCGCCGATTGCGATATCGCGACCGTATTGTTTTCGTATATCGCCGTGGTAACGCGTCGTGTTCGCGATTCTGATCTCGCCGCGCGTCACACCGGACCCGTTTTGTTCCGTCGTTTTTTCCAAACGCGGCGGCGTCGGCCGTGTTGAAGTTGCCCGACGTGCACGCGGTCTTCTCCCGCCTCACTATAAGGTGTCGCCGACGGTATTATAATAATAATAATATTATTTTACGTCGTCGCCACACACAGCAAATCGTCGTCTCCGCTTCAGCGTCGAGTAAACGTCACCGTATGTGTTATTTTATATAACGTGTACAACACGTAATATTATTATTGTCGTTATTATTATTATTATTATTGTCATTATCGTTTCCGGTTGCGCGTTACGAAATGTTTTCGAATTTGATAGAACGATGTATTATTATCATTTCGTCGGCCATAATTCCGTTTTTAACCCTTTGAAGAGTGAATTAAATTTTGTATGGATCATTCAGAGAGTGAATTGTTTTTATAAATATATCGATATTTTTCTTAAAGTAAAGACGTCATTTGACGTTTTAGATATTTATGTTAAAATAGTAAAGACGTCAATTGACGTCCCTATTCTTTTTTAATAAAGTAATAAGAACGTTTATTGACGTTAACGAAAATTTTCTTACTGTAATTAACACATTGTATTGTTTTGGATTTAATTTTAGTATTAAGTCAATTCTATGTAATAAAAAATAATTATACATTTTTTAAAAACAAAATTTAATTAGCTCAAATTAAAAATTACCTTTTATAAAACAATACATAAATAAATTTGATAATATAATATAGTATAATAGAACTCAGAACTAATCGAATTAAATTAGTTGCAATAAACTTAAATAAAAAATAACCTTTTTAAAACAATGTAACAAAATTGTTTTTTGAATAAAAACAGTAAATAAATTTAAATTAAAAATCACCTTTTGTAAAACAAAACATACATAAACCATTAACAAATTTCTTTTTTTTAAGGGGCTCTATGGTAATGATTTATGACGATTATTTATTATGTGACAATATTTTGCGCGTTCCCCTTGCGAGTTTTTCGCCGAGTCCTTTGACTTTTTTCCGTGTGTAACATGCTGCAATTCCACGCCGAAATACGAAATTTCACTCGAAAAACAAAAATAAATCGGTAAATGTTCTAGATAAACATATATTTTATGCGCATGAAATAAAAAAAAAAATATATTATTATATTATATTATACGTGAATGGAGCGTTCTCGTTTTGTATGCGAAAGTATGGCATTTAAGACTCGTTTCCTGTTGGTATTGCGTATATAGTATTATACAGCCGTTTCGTCGTGTCTTATTATTTTAGATTTTCTGGAAATTGGTGACAAACGTACGTGTCGCAATAATGTGAGTTTTTTATTTTTCTTACACATTTTTATAACAAACCGTATGAAATATATTCAATATACTACAGTGGTGCAGCTTAGCTGTTATAAAGGATTGATGGGGTAGGAGTTTTCAGACTGCGATGTAAAACCAATAAAATACATTCTTACATTAACCTGCGATTGCTATGCTAATATACGTCATTAATCGTGCACTAAGGGAATTTTTATAAAATATTTTCTATTTGACTATGCTATTACTACTCATTATAGTAACAAATTATTGGCGTAGATTACACTGCGATGACGGTAAATATACTTTCATTAGGTATAATTTATTGTGTTATGTTTTATAATTTCAATTGACGTATAAATTGTGTGAAAAATTAAAAACCGCACACAGAAAAAACGACGTAAACATAAATTCTTGTTTGGATAACCAACTCGATGAACAAAAATAATAAACCGGGATGGCGATGTGATACCATTATCCTTCATGCAGCAAGCATGCTCCCTGTCACACTGAAGTGGTTGAGATTTGAAAAAAAAATGCAATTCAAGATTTAACTACACGGTATCCCGTCATCCCTTTAAGTTTGGTCCGATAGTCTGGCTATACGACGTGTACATAAAGCGATTTCCGTCTTGATTGTATATCTATTATCTACTCGATTACACACGTTTTATATCACGATTATGTATGGCCGTACCGATGTATATCATAGCTGTCGTGTACAAATTTTTGATTTGGTTTTTTTTACGACAAAAATTACGTTGATTTTAAATCGAATAATTGTGGTATATTGTGAATTCAGCGGTCGGCTACAAAATGCATATCGCGGTTTTTCCTTAATCCATTATTTGATTAATAGCACATTGGCGGCGTTGACAACAATTATCTACCATACCTTTTCATATCGATTACTTATTTTTAAAACTGTATACAATTTTATACAGAGATATTAACTTTTTATAAATGTTTATTACACTGTAGCGTTTTTGGTACAGCTAATCGAAAGCACGAGAAATAGGAACATTATCATTTTTTACTTACGAAACGCGGGACACATAAATCACTAAATAATAAGTTTTTATTAAGAAAGCGTAAATAATTTTTCATTTATAATAATATCTTTTGTTTAAATAATTACTTTCAATTTTTGATCGTCGTGTTATAGTATAGTAGCCATCGTAATGAATTAAGACCACGCAAGAAAGTTATACAGCTTTTAAAATTAAAATATTTCTGTAGGTATTTATTACATTAGTGTAGTTTGTTTTCTGTAAAATTGCATCATGTATTTAAATTTCGTTGATGATATTTTTTCTTAAAATAATTTGTCACTAGATTAAAATTTTACTTACAAAATGTACTTGTGAAAATCGATGAATATTACTTAATCAATTGGTTTAAGTAGTTTATGACGATAGTTTTCTTCAAATTTAATTTTAATATCAATTTGATATTTTTTTATGACTAATGAGCAATTTACATAGCCATAGTTATTAATATAGTTATCGATAGGCAATACATATAAAACAAATAAATATTATATTGTTTATGTATATAAATATTCAGAATAATGAACAAATTAATTTTGACATTATGAAAATATCGACTAAAACTTCTAAATTTAAAATTTTTAAGGCGTTTCATTTTGTATTTACCATTCACATTTGTTAAATTCGTATTTTATGCCAACGATTATAAATTATGGCAATAAGCCACGATTATAAAACATTTTATACGCACGCAAATTGATTACTGTTTTGCAAATATATTAAGTCCAAATGGAATAAATATTTAAAACTGAATTAATACTATGCTGTATACTTACTTGTATACAGCTCAAATAAATAAAAATTATGAAATGCGAAAAAATAGATTATGATTTTCTTTATTCCTAGTGATGTACTGATATCTTTTTAAATTAAAATGTTTAAAGTATAAATACGCTTTCGTGACCATGTTTTCCTTATACCTTGGATGATAAAACACGTATAGTACGTATAAAACGGCATTGTTTGTTTTAATTAACTTCAGAGCATACTGTTAAATCGAAACCGTGACATAACAGATACTGAGACACATAACATTGATAAGTTATATTATATTGTACAATTTTTAGGGAATTTCTCATTAACTCCTGTGAGTAATTAAATCTAAATGACTGTTCGAGAAGTTAACTGTAATATTGTCTAATAATATATTGTTGTTGGCTTTATTAGAGCGAGACCAATGTACCGTGTCCTCAACAACACGTGGCTTAGCAATAGATTGGAAATGTAATAGAAGTAATGTAATAGAGCCCCCTCTCCTTTGTTAATCATCCCTCTCACTCGAAATAATTTTCTGAATAGTCCATGATTTTTTTTTTTTACACTTAGCGCATACAAATATTTGTAAGCCGCGGATGTAAAATACAAAATGCGGTCACCCTCTCTCATTTATCGAATAAGATGCGATTACCCAAAAGTAGTACATTACGTGCCGCTGCAAGTGCTGGTTTGATCGTGAATATATTCGTGTATAAGCCTATACATTGGTTCTTAGTTGAGTTTAATCAACAAGATGAATATATGTGGTACAAACTTGTATGCAATCGAAAAGACTGCATAGAAGATATTTCGTGAATTTTTTTTTGATGGATAATATTTAATAATAATCAAAATACTTAATTCCATGTAAATAATTAATTGGGTCAAGCGATTAACTGATGGTCACCACTCGTCCTACACATTTAAATTTCGTTTTAAAAAATCGAATTTCCTTAAAGCCATCGTCTCAAAATTCGAACCGACAAATCCATATAAGATATGCAAGCCGTGAACGAAACAGCTAGCGACAGCGTATTATGTTTTAAGGTGAAAGGGATACCTACTGAAACTTTTGTTTCAAGTCTGAACTTTTAAATTTGTCTTTCAAACTACGATAGAATATTGATATCAGTGATAAAAATGAGATAACGAAATAATTCATTGTATTAATAAAAAAAAAAAAAAAATGTTAACATTATTCTATTATTGCACGCTAATACTCGATAGGTAGTTTATTAGTTTTGTTTTCATTGCATTTAGTGCATTTCATATTCTTATGATTAAAATCATTGTTAAATTTAGAAGAATCAAAAATTGCGTTACTTAAATAAAAAATAATATCAAAGTCTATAGTTTATAATGAATCTTTTAATATATTTTAATTTCTCTACTGTCAATTTGTATCTATATAAGTGTATAAAGACGTAAAGTGCATTATTGTTTATCGTACAACTCAGCGATTCCTAACCTAAACTACTCGAAAAAATTTGTATAATGGTGGAAAAATATTGAATTTCTTTTGTCTAAGTTTAAGGTTATAATGAGAGATACCTACAGGCTACAATCCAGCGAAATATTGAACTCAGGGGCACGGAAGAAAAATAAGGTTGGAAACCTCTGGTATGATTATACGTCATGCAAGATAAACAAATTAAAAAGTAAAAGACACTTGGTTATACTTATACATACCTATATTACCAATACACATTTTATTTGAACACATATTTTATCATATTTTACAGTTTTTTTTATTTTAATTTTTTTATTAAAAACCAAAATGTTATCACTTATCATTAATCAATTGGCAGCCGGCAGCAGCTGTTTCGTAATGAGTGACTGTAATAGTCGATCGTTGTTGTTTTATAGTCATAGTCATATAATACATTAGGATATACTAGGTATTGTTCGGTTTCCCCTATTATATACAATTTGTTATTGCGTATGTGTTAGGGAGCTGGATTCCTTTAAGGCTAAAGCATTCGTTCAACCCTCACAAAGTCGATCGCCATTCAAGCTTACTTTCTATACTGTCTAGATTATGATAGGGAATATATATTATATTATTTAGGTATATATAGTTGGTAATGGATATAATA